CGGATGCAGACAGGCGCTCACACGGTCCCCATCCCTGTCCCTGTCCCACACTTATACACACACCTCCCCTCCTCCTCTCCTATCCTTGTTCACAGGATCCTCCCTTCCTTCCAGCCCTGATTGCCTGCCCTGCCCGCCCTCAAGTGGGAGCCCACCAGGCACCCAAGCTGCCCTGCCCTGTGATGGGGGCTGTGGAGGGGGCCTCCTCGGGAGGAAGAAAGTAGGAGTCCCGGGGAGCCGCCAATAGGCCTAGGACCTAGGCTGACACCAGACACCAAAGCTTTGTCGCCTAGGGAACAAAGCTGAGAGGGAGAGAAAACTATGCTCTAGATGGTCTGTGCCCCCAGGGGCTTTTCAGGCCTGAGCAGGAGGGACTGTCAGCAAGGATCACAGTCCCTAAGGGTCCAGCGTTCCTCCCAAGGATGTCTGCAGTGATCCCCGGCCCTAGGAGACAAGCTCAAACTCCCAGAGGGAAAAGTGAAGTTGGAAGGACTTTCTGGCCAAGAAGGGACTGAGACAGAAACAGCCAAGAGGGAGAGACTAGGAACCTTCCTGGACAGGGAGTTCATGAGGCTCTGAGGCAGGGGAGTAGCCCTCATGACCTCCAGAAAAGCCCAGTGCCCAGAGGTTCTGCAATGTCTGTCCCTTTCTCCCCGGGGTCCCCATCCCATGTCCCAGGCTCAACCCCAGAGCCCTCAGTTAGACTGCAGCATCCACCAGACTTACCCCTGTGACCCCAGGTTTATCGAGGGCTTAGTGTAGCCCACAACACCTGTCCCTCACCGGAGTGGTGGCCTTGGATAGAGCTCTGGGAGGCTTCGGAGAGAGCTTGGGGAACCCTGTTGCTAAGTGCCCAGCTCTGTCCTGACACCATGGAGGTTGAGCACCGAGAGGCCATGACCTCAACCCTGGAGGGAGTCCAGTGGAGTCGGTGGAAGGCAACTTCGGCACATCCACCTGCCTTCACTGGCTGCCAATGAGGGGTGGCTGGTATGTGGCCCCTGGGGTAGGTTCATGTGAGACACCCCCTTCCCTCGACCCCTCTGGGTGCTCCAGGCAGAGAACTGTAGGGTGCCAGGACAATCCAAACCCCGCCAGAGCGAGCCTGTCTTAGGAGGCACCAGCCTTTCCAACTCTCACATCACAGGGAGCCTGGAGTGGGGTGCCCAGTCCCGAGTGACCCTGAAAACTCCTCCTCCTCCTCCAGGGAGTCAGGACCACTCCTAAACCAGACCTGGCGCTCCCTCACACAAGCCTCAGCCAGAATGTGCGCGCACACACACACACACATACACACACACACACACACACACACACACACCACCAGCTGCCATCCCAACCCTTGGGGTTCGGTTCTTGTCCCTGTTCCCCAGGCTGCAGGGTCTACCAGAAGCAGGGGACCTGGGGCAGGAATCTGCTGGCTTCACCCTCCTTGGGTAGTTCTTACCACCCTGGCTCCTGCTCACACAGCCTCCCAGGCTAAGGATGGCCCTGCTCCCCAAGGGGACACACAGTCAACTCCTGATCTGGGGGCCTGGGGTGGGGGTTGGGGGTAGGAAGGCAGTTGTTTAAGCCACGCCCTGCTTTTCCCCAGCTCTGCCGTTCTTCGTGGGTTCCAATCTATACCTGAGCTATTTGTCCCTTTAAGGCACAGTCTGACCTCACCCTCTTTCCAGGGGACACAACAGACTCAGGTGAGACCTTCTCATAACTCACCTCCTGTCACCTGGTCCTGCTGAGCCACTTGCCCTTGGCTCACGTATTGCCCCCACCCTCAGATCCACCCCCTAACCCTAATCCCACCTGCTCCGGTTGGTCACTCAGTCCTTACACTGCTCAGCTCAACCACTGCCTCCCCCACTTGCCTCCCCCAATCCTACCTGGAGCAGGAGCCGCCTCTTCTTTGGCCCCGCAGAGTCCCCAGGCTCCCAGCACTCGCTGGGCACCAGGGCCTGAGGACCCCCCAGAGGCTGGGGGCCGCAGGGGGGCCCAGGCTCCAGCGCCTCACAGCACACCAAGCTCACGGTGCAGCCCATCTGGCCCGGAGCCCAGCGGGCGGGGCGGGGACAAGGGCGCCCCGGGAGCAGGTCCGCCCCCACCGCCGGGGACCGCGGGGCCCCGCGGCCAACCCCTCGGGGAGGAGCGGCGGCGTCCCCCGCGGGGTCCGCGAGCAGAGCCCGGTCTCTTGGTGTCCGCATGGCCACGGAGCCGGGGCCCAGGAGCTGGCAAGGTCGGCGACGCGGGCTCCCGACTGCAGCTTGGGACCGAGGGGGACCGTGGGCTGAGCCGGGGAGGGACAGGAGAGGCGAATCGCAGAGAAGGAGAGATCATGGGGGACAAACGGCGACAGGGCCACGGGGTCAGAGCCGCTGCCGACAGAGACCAAGGCCGTGGAGGAAGAGGAGGCGGGGAGTGGGACGGGCGTGGGCGACGAGGGCGCCAGGTCTGGTCACCTGCGGTCCAGGGGGCGCGAGCAGCAACCCTGGCAGGTCCCCGCCCGTCCGCGCCTGGAAAACCTGGCGCGGGAGGGGGGCTGGAAAGACCCCGCCTCAAGGAACCACAGCACAGCGTGGCTGGGGGACCAGTGGCGGGAGACGGGAACAGCCCGGCAGGGGACCTGCGGGGGTCTTTCCAGGACCGGCCACCGCTGCGGTCTCCTCCACTCCGCAGGGAGGGTCCCTGAGTCCGAATGGACTCCGCGGACAACAGGTTTGGTCTCCGCAGGACCGCGGAGATGGCGCCGGCAGGCAGCACCCACGGGGGCCCCTCGGCATCCTGGAGGGGGACGAGGACAAGGGACCCCCCTGCTGGGACCCCCTGCTCTCCCACCTGCCCCACACTCCAACTAAGGGACCCAGAGCGGACCCGCACAGCGGAGTCAGTGTCCGGCGGGCAGCCCCGCGGCAACCGCGTGCCATCTGGTGGCGAATAAAAGAACGACATGGCCCGTGCCGGTGACCGAGCTGGACCAGCAGCTGCTGCAGCTGCCTGAGTCTCTGGGAGGCCAGCGCAGTGAGGAGGGACTCCTAGCTGGTAGGCTGGCAGTTGGAAGGCGTCCAGAGTTGACCTAAAAGACCCACTTACTAGGTAATGAACAATTAGGTGCCTAAGCTTGTAACTAGCTACCTAGTCGCTAATCAGTTAATGAATTGACCAGCCAATTAACTAGTCAACCAAGTAGCTACCAATCTACCTAACCAACCAGCTAGTCAGAGAATTTATTATCTAACTAGACCATTTGCTTAAGTAACTTATTGTCTGGCTGAATGACTAGTTAACTAGTAACTACCGTTAGCTAGTATTTATCTAGTTAGCTCATTCCTTCATTGATTGACCTTTTAACTAGTTGTCCAATCAGCTGTTTATTTTGTCTAGTAGTTAACTAGTCAACTGACTGATAATCATTAACAAATTGGTGACTAGGTGACAAGCTAGTTAACTAGGGTAACTACATATATAATTACCTAGGTAACACTGTAGCTAGCTAACTAACTAACTGCTACCACCAGATATGAGCAAGATCTGAGCACAGCCCAGGGGCCAAGGGGAACCATCCTCCTCACTGGCTCCACCCCTGCCCTTGACCCTGCCCCTGTCAGTTCTCCCAACAGGCTCTTTTCTCAGTCCCCACCCCCCACCCCCGCTAAGCTTAGGGACCCCTTCCAGGCTGCTGGCTGGCCAGGGCCTGAGTCACATCCCAGGCAGCAAACTCTGGGGAGGACCGGGCAGGACCCAGAGTCACCAACCTCAGAGCCCTGCTCTCTCTGCCTCCCCAGGTCAGTAGTCAGACTCCTTTGAAAACCCTGGGTTCAGGGTGGCTGGGGAAACGGGGATGATGTTGGAGGAAAAGGGGTGATGAGTGGGGACAGGGGGTGATGTCTGGGGAACAGGGGTGGTGGCAGAAGGGGGAGGGAGTGGAAGAGGGCCAGGGGCACAGGGTTCAGCAGAGAGGAAGTACACTCTCTAGCTATGGGTGGATTTCATAAAGGAAGGGGCCTGCAGAGACCCTCAGTCCAACCCCTGGTCTACATGTGGGGAAACAGAGGCCCAGAGAAGGCAAACGACCACATGCATGACTAGGAGACCCAGGTCCCTTGACTCCCAGCCCAGGGCTCCCTAAACCCCACCCTTACCCCTCCCTCCTTCCCTGGCCTGGGCTTCTCCCCTTCTGTTCACTGAGCCACTGTGTCTTTACTGCTAGCCCAACCACTGCAGCCTGGGAGGCAGGAGATCTGCGACTCCAGCCATGCCTGGCCTTGGCTCCAAGTCTCAGAATGAGCCCACAGGGGCCACAGTGTCCCCTCTGCACCCCGGAACCAGGCTGAGGCTCCCCTGGGAGAAAGGGACAGGACTGAAGCCAAGTGTCCTGGCCCCTGCTCCCCCTGCATTCTGGCCCAGTCCCAGCACTGGGGCCTTGCCCTGCTTTCTCCTGCCTACTCGAAACACCCCCGTTTCCCCCTCCACCAGAGCTCGGGAAAGGATGAGTGGGTCTCAGGGTGATGACTGGTCTGATGAGGCTGCGGACTGCCCATAGGGAAGGAGTGACAGTTCCCTCCGCCTGGCTGTCACGAGGCACAAACACCCACAGGGCTACACACATCAAGCTGCAGTCTGGAACACAGGCAGGCAGGCAGTGTTCCGATTCCGCTTCCACCGTTTAAACCTTTGTGACCTTGGGAGAGGACTTACCCTCAGTCTATACCCCAGTTTCACCTTCTAGGAAATGGACTTAAAAACCTTACCAGGTTATTGTGGGGGCTGAAGAAATAAATTATACACAGCACTTAGCATGGTGCCTGGTGCCCAGAATCTCCTACATGGTGGCTGCACCATCAGCTTCACACGCTCACCAGCCACAAAGAGCTGGCTCTTCCCACCCACTAGTCAACTCGCTGTGTGGTACTAGATTAGTCCCTTTCCCTGTCTAGGATTTTGACTCCTCCCTTGTCTTGAGGAGAGAGGAGGCAGGGAAGCACAGAGGACCAGGACAGCCAGGTCACATGACGTCACTCCATTTCCAAGTGCCCCAGGCAAAAGAGGAAGCTGTGACCAGGGACCTGAAAGGTGAGCGTGACTAAGGGATTTTTCTGGAGCTGAGCTGGGAGAAGGGAGGGACCCTCAGAGATCTCAACCCTCAGTTGAGGTCTGCTGCCTCCTGTCCTCCCTACAGCCGCCGTCTCGGCCATCCTCCAGGGCTATGGGGACAGGCAGCAGCCGGTGACAGACGCCAGTGCGGAGCTGCACAGACTCTGCGGCTGCCTGGAGCTGCTGCTGCAGGTGGGGCCCCAGGAGAGAGGACCAGGGCAGACCTGCCCCTCCTGCCTTCGTTACCCCCTGGGTCTCCTCTCCTGGGAGTCAGCAGGTCCCTCCTGAGGTCTAACCCCATTCTGGGGGCTGTCGTTTAGGCCTGGGGGGTGAAGTTGGACAAGGCTGG